GCCTGAGCATGATAGTGTTATTAATTAATTAATTAATATTAAATGCTTTAATCCCAGCATTTGGGATGATGAAGCAGGCTGATCTCTATGAGTTCAAGCTCCAGGCCAGCCAAGGCTACACAGTAAGACTGTCTCAAAAACACAAAACAAACAAACAAAGGTGATAAAATTATAGGAAGATATCACTTTCAACAAGGGTTGGAGAGATGGCGCAGTGGCTAAGAGCATGGCTGCTCTTCTGCCTATACAGATCCAGCTCTGTCGACTTCTGGCCTCCACAAGTATCATCACATGTGACAGAGAGACAGATACACACATAATTAGTTAATTTAATTAAAAACATATTAGAACAGCAAAACATGAAAATCATAGAATCATAGAAGTTTGCGCCTGACACTGAAAAGACCAGGGTCCTCGCTGGTTAAAGAAGTACATGGTGCTGCACGTCTGATCCTAGCACCCGAGGCTGAGGCAGGAGGGTGGTGACTCACGGCCAGCCCCAGGTACATCGTGAGATCCTATCTCTGAAAAGAAAACTACACTCATTACAGGAATCTTGAGAAATGTATGCACTTGGAAGGAAACAAATTCCTTTCACAAAAACCCAACAATATGAACAATTTTGTGCGCTTCTTGCTAACCCTCCCTTGATTCATTCGTTTGTGTATTATGGATAAGATTTAACAAACTTTATGTATTTACTACTGTATTACAAGCATTTCCACACATTTACCACTTCTTAGTAAAAAAAAAAGTAAAAATCATCTTGTTATCTCAGGAAGCTTAATGTTATTAAGTTCATTTTTCTTATTTATTTATTTATTTGTTTGTTTGTTTGTTTATTATTTTTGGTTTTTTGAGACAGGGTTTCTCTGTGGCTTTGGAGGCTGTCCTGGAACTAGCCCTTGTAGGTCACAAACCTACAGAGATCGGCCTGCCTCTGCCTCCCGAGTGCTGGGAAAAAAAGGCATGTGCCACCAATGCCCTGCTTTAAATTCATTTTTCTAAATTAAAATAAATCCATTAACCTTAAAATGGTAAATACCAAACTCTCATTTACACAAATTCCAGTATTTTATGTTTCTTTTAACAGGACAAACTGCAAAGAATACTGGAGTGCCTGCTGTGCACAAAGCCAACATGCTCACAGTCTTATGGCCTAAATCAACTATGCAGTTTCTTACTGACTTAAAAGGTTCATAGAACTGCCTGGGCATGGTAGTACATGCCTTTACTCCCAGCACCTGGGCGGCAACCCAGTACTCAAACATACCCACTAAGTCACTGATAGCCAGGCATGTTGGCACACACCTTTAGTCCTAGCATACAGGAGACAGGCGGATCTCTCTGAGTTCAAGGCCAGCCTGGTCTACAGAGTTCCAGGATAGCCAGGGTAAAACAGAGAAACCCTGTCTAGAAAAAATTCAAAAAGTCATATCCTTTAGTTGCATAATCTCACAATTTCCAAACAATGAACCAACTGTTTTTGCTAACAAAGATCATTCAACTAAGTACAATTTGGTAAGTAAAAGAAAGGTCTGGTTTGGAGTCAAAAGTCCTAGGTTACCATCTAGGTTATGAGGGCAAAGGTAATAGAGCCCTAGGCAGTTTTTTTTTTTTTTAATGAAGTTTCATAAGCTGCTGATATTACAATCCAGTTCCTACTATTTCATAAGAAGCCTTTAAAACCAGAGACAGTAAAGGAGGATATGAAGTATATGCTGAAATGTCTAAAATATCTACTAACCCCCTCTCCTCCACCCTCTATTCCCAGGTCGGGGGAGGGGGAGACAAAAATCAACCTTATCAAACAGGAAAAACATTTCAAAATGTAGTTACTAGCTGCATAATGTCAAATCCACACTCAGTGAGAGTTGGCAAACTACTGTTCCAAGCTGATTTTTAGATTGATCTTCATTTGAACCACGGACATCTTCTGATGGAGAGAAGTAATAGAATGGAACCCTTTTGGGGAATTTAACCATCAGGGGATTGCCAGCCTACAATCCACACCGCCAGAAAGGCTGGGAAACAGGGAGGACCCTAAGAGAGACATGCATGGTACCCTGGAGAAGAGGAAGGGGACAGGATCTCCTGAGCCTATTGGGAACCTGGGGGGAGGGGAGAGAGATCTGGGACAAAGAGGGGGAGAAGAGGAGGGGAGAGGAGGAAATGAGGGAGCAGGAAGGTTGAGTCAGGGGAAGAACAGAGGAGAGGAGGGTGATCATAACAGAGGGAGCCATTAAGATCTGAGGAGAGATCTGGCACTGGGGAGAATTCCAGAGATCTACAAGGATGACACCAACTGTATGTGTGTTTGTGTATATAGCTCCTCATTTCCATAAAAGGTAAAGGTTTGAGATAACCGTGGAAGACTGAATCCAAACTGTTAGTGTTGGTTATTTCTAGGCATTCAATTATGGATACTTCTTTGAACAATTTTCCCATAAAACACAGATATTCCTTTGATAATGGGGGTGAGGTGTTGACCTGTTCTGCTGACATAGGCTTAGAAGAAAACAATGTATTCCAGGGCTGGAAGCATTTAAACTTCAAAGATACTTCGAACCAATTTTCAAGAGTATTTCTTCGAATCTTTCGAAAAAGACCAAGCTACCAAATTCTAAACAGCCATGAGTCTAAGGTAGCAACACACCAGGATCAAATTCTTAAGGAAGCATTTTTCTAAACTCTTCAAGTGGGCAATTTGGGATTTGAAAGATCATCAAATGATCATCAGAAATGGCAAAGGGTGCCTGACAGCAGCGGTGGTGCCACACCTTTAATCCCAGCATCTCAGGGAGGGGAAGGAAGACAGAGTTCCGGGCTAGTCTGGTCTACGAATCGAGTTCCAGGACAGCCAAGGACTGTTACACAGAGAAACGCTGTCTCAATAAAAAAACAAACTAACTAACTAACAAACAGGACAAAGGGTAATGAGCCAAGCTGGAACTTGGTGACAGTGACTGATTTCTTTCCAAGAAAGCTCATCAGACAGTTAAAAAAAAGAAAGTCTATTTGGTAAGATAAACTAACAATAAAACTGATTCTGATGAAATTGATGTGTTTTGATAGGTGGATTTTAACAGCAAGATAGAAGCAGCTCAAGAGGAAAGAAAGTTGAACTACTTGAAGTCATTTCAAACTCTTGGATACCTCTTTGATGAACCAGTAGTCTGGCAGCATGCCAGATTTTAGAAGATTTCAAATATTCTAATTTTCGATCCCCCCCCCCCATGAGAACCTATTTGCCTCTCACTCTTGGTTAAGAAAATCCGCGTGCTGTATTTCCACCTTGGAACACCATAATGACGGCATCCGGACAGTGACAGTTCGCTGAGGTTCCAGTAATCCTGTTACCCCTGTGTAAAGGTGTGAGGTGTGAATAATTCCATCGCCTGCTCCTCCCCTCCCCGCACACCCCTGCGTAGTTCTCTCCTAAGCCGGGAGAGCTGCCGTCCTATTAACCTTCTTGGGCACGAACTGGAAACCTCCGTAATCTACACAGCGGCTGGAAGGAGGCCTCTGTGGCAGGACGACGCTTTCCGAAAGCCCGTGGGTCGGAGACCTCTAGAGCTCTGCAGCCGAGAGCGAGGCTGCTTCACAAAGAATCCCAGACTTTTCAGTCTGCTTTA